AGTGAGAGTGTGTATGTCTTCAGCACTTACCTTTCTCCAGCGCCGGACTCCCTTGGCGCTGAGGATCCCTCAGCCTCTCAGCTCCGAATGCGACCGCGCACGCATTCAAACCGCCATAGGAAAGCATTACTCAATGCTTTCCTATGGACGTTCAGTGTGCTCCTCTAGCGGCTGTCAGTGAGACAGCCACTAGAGACTGGATTAACCCTCAGTGAAACATAGCAGTTTCTCTGAAACTGCTATGTTTTCAGCTGCAGGGTTAAAACTAGAGGGACCTGACACCCAGACAACTTCATTGATCTGATGTGATCTGGGTGTCTGTACGTGTTTCTCGAAAATAAGACCGGGTCTTATATTAATTTTAGTCCCAAAAACACACTAGGGCTTATTTATTTCCAGGGTAGGGAGCTTATTTCAGTATATGGTACGGTATGTACATTGAACCCCCTTTAATTAATCCACCCCCTTTAATAAATCCGCCCCCTCTAATTAATCCACCCCTCCCCTATTAATCCACCCCTCTTTTAATTAATCCACCCTCCTTTAATTAATCCACCCCCAATAAATCCACCCCCAATAAATCCAGCCCCCAATAATCCAGCCCCCTCTAATTAATCCACCTCCTTTAATTAATCCACCCTCCTTTAATTAATCCACCTCCTTTAATTAATCCACCCCCTCTAATTAATCCACCCCTCCTTTAATTAATCCACCCACCTCTAATTAATCCACCCCCTCTAATTAATCCACCCCTCCTTTAATTAATCCACCCCCCCTAATAAATCCACCCCCCCTAATAAATCCACCCCCTCTAATAAATCCACCCCCCGTTTAATTAATCCAACCCCCCTTTAATAAATCCACCCCCCTCTAATTAATCCAGCCCCTCCTTTAATTAATTCACCGCCTCCTTTAATTAATTCATCGCCCCCTTTAATTAATTCAGTCCCAGACATAAAATATCTACTCACATTTCAAAGATGCCTTCCTTGCCCGCCGAGTCCGACCACTGGGTGCCTCACCGCCCGGAAATGGATCCTTCCGCTGAAGATCCGTGAAGGCAGACTGACGCCGCTGCGCACGTCGTCATCACGTTGCGCGATGCCGCGGCCTGCAACGCTCCTCCTCCTCCTCATAGAAGAAGGAAGTTCCGCCGGGCCGAAAGGTACAATGCCTAGGTCTTATTTTCGGGGTAGAGCTTATATTGCAGCCCACCCCGAAAATTCAGCTAGGGCTTATTTTCGGGGTAGGGTGTATTTTTAGGAAGCTACGGTAGTAGTCCTTTAAAGGACCACTATAGTGCCAGGAAAACATACTCGTTTTCCTGGCACTATAGTGCCCTGAGGGTGCCCCCACCCTCAGGGACCCCCTCCCGCCCGGCTCTGGAAAGGGGTAAAACTTACCTTTTTCCACCGCTGGGCGGAGAGCTCTCCTCCTCCGATCCTCCTCTTCTCCTCCCGTCGGCTGTATGCGCACGCGCGGCAAGAGCTGTGCACGCATTCAGCCGGTCACATAGGAAAGCATTCATAATGCTTTCCTATGGACGCTGGCG